CTGGTGTGTCCTTCGAGGATGGCCTTGACAATGTCAGCTTGGAGTCCAACGAGTGGGTCCCAGGAATGAACTGTGGCTCGACCATATGTTCGCTGAGCCCTGCTCTCCAGCAGGCACAGGTGCTGATAGTTAACACGGTTGCAAATATCAAGAAGCTTCCGAAGCAGCTGACAAAGGATATGCTCTGCGGGTTTACTGACATCAAGGGCAGCACTGGCAAGTCATACACAGAAGTGCTGGCAGCTAACCTGCTGGGACTGTCACGGCAAACAGTTTCAAGATGCTGGAGGGATGTGGAAGCCAATGGTTGGACGCCCATTCATCGTGAACGATTACATCCAGAGCGGAAACTGCAGCCAAGCAAGCCATCGCACACGGTGGATACGGAGGAATCCCGGTGGCAGCCAAGCAGGCCATCGCACACTGTGGATACGGAGGAATCCCGGTGGAGGAAGAGCGCCACGGTTTGCGTCCGAACTGCCATCGGCTGTGCTGTGGAAGGGCAGTCGAGAACATCCTTCGAGCGTGAAGTGGCACGGCTCCGGCTTTGTGGCGTGGATGTGGACGGCGCGATGTGCCACTCACGCAAGTTCTGCGTGGAGGTAGAATACTTGACAAATCAGGTTTTGCATATGATGAACGCCAACGATTGGTGCTCTGTTCTCGGAGGCTTGGGAATTGAATCTGATTTCGCTGTCATGGCCGACCCAGTTTCATTAGGAAAGTGCAGTGCCTTTCCCCGCAACGAAACAGTCCTAGTCGCCAATCTGACCATCGTCAGCGCAGAGGATGGCTCTCTTGTAACCCCGATGCTGGACTACCGAACGCTCGGAATTGGATGCCACAGCGGCTCTGAGACGACACGACTGCTTCTGGAGATGCTATCGCAACATCCCAGTATGCTGGATCTGCCCATCTTGAAGGCTCGATTGGCCATGATTGATGGTGACGGGCAAATAGTGAAAGGGGGTGCGCAAGCCCGACATTCCAGTGGCGGTGCCGCCGAGTTGCTCTGGCAGCGCGTGCATCCAGAGGCTGAGCCCGACTCTTTGGTCGTGTGCACACGTTGGGACGACTTTCACAGGCACGGGGTCTTAAACAAGTAGCCAGAGGTGCTGTCGAGGAATTTAGGGCTTTGTTTTTTGTGAGTAATCTTAAGTCCAATGTATTTATTCTTCAATAGCCACTTCGAGTAGGATCGACAATGCAATCATGCGAGCAGTTCGTCGGTCACCTCCTGCAAGCGAATGCTTCGACGTGGCAGCGTCCTGCGATCGACTGTTCAACGTGGGGGAAGGCAAAGTGTTAAAACGTGCAGCGTCCAAGAGCTTCGGCAGATTTAGCTCTTTAGTGCCAATCCAGGAATCCATAGTCATGGGCCTTAGAGATTTTCAGAGCATCCATAAACACCAATACGGTAGAATGCTCGAGGGCCGCCACTTGCGTAAAGTAGAAAGAGCCCTGAACATGCCCGACAGCACTGACGCCAAAAACAAACAACATGAAGGCTGCTAACCTTTGTGCTGCTTGCAGTTCAGGAGAGTGGGAGCCACCGGAGCCGGTTTGAGGGGCCCCGGAGGGACCCGGAAGGTCGTGTACCTGAGCGGAGCTCCAGGTGGTTTGATTTCGAACTACCAGATTGTTCTTCTATGTCTTCATGGTAAAGTCGCATGGAAGAAAGAGGGCAAAGGCAATGTTTCGCTGACCAGCCTCTTTGAAGTCGGCCGGCGTCTTCAAGAGCCCTCCTTCGTGTTCTTTTTGGTCGGGTTCGACGTGGCACTGCTGAAGATTGTCCGGCCCTTCGCACTGATCGTCCAGAAAGCGGAAGAGGCATCTGTGGTAGAGAAAGCCAGACGTAATATGGAAGCTGCTCTGGAGACAATGCAGGAATCTTTTGCCAAAGTCAAAATCATGCTTGGCGCAGTGGCCTGCTGCAGACAATATGTGTCCTCTAAAGAGTTGGCGCGCTTGATGTCTGCGTGTCGATATACATCGTGGGGCAAACCTGTCAGATCCTTTATCTTGCATGCCAGCAAGGTGCTGTTCAACATTCCTCCAGAATTTCAGGGTTGCAAACTGCAATTGAACGCGCAGCTTGCCCCTGGCATGATGAGCTTGGGAGGTCATTGTCAGTGCTTGGCCGCGGAAGAACACTGCCGAAGGGCCAGGCGGCGAGCAGTGCCGGAGATCAGAAGAGTCAAGACCAAGATCTATGTTTTTCGGCGGGGCCGTCGCGTGCAGAAGACAGTGAGTGTGCCATTGTGGACCATGCTTGAAATCCAGAAGGATGCCAGTTTCTTTTGCCCAAGGCAGCAGCTACGCGACACCACAAAGAACTCCGTGCTTGGGATGGACTACTCAGACATGTTTCGACCACGCCTCCCGCGAGCTAACTGGCTTGGGAGCCGGTGCCAGGTGCCGAACGGGGTGTTCCAAGCTCATGCTGCATGTGTACAGGCGATTGAGGCACTCATGGAATTCTTGAAGTACGCGAAAGAAGAGGTGGATGACATCTTCTCGGATGTTGGGATGAATTCCGACATGCTTTCCCTACTGCGTGCTGGGGAGGTGGCTTTTGATTGGACGAGCTTATTGGCTCAACCGCCCACCCGAGCATGCCTAACAGCATTTGGCCGACTCGTGGAGATGTTCAAGCCTTATCTTGCCAAGGGTCGATGGCCCCACGGCGATGCTTTCCAGAAGGTGCCCCAGACATGGTCCTTGCAGAAGCGGGAGTTCACGCAGCAATACGAGCTGCTGGTGTCCAGAGTCCGCCACTTGCTGAGACTGAGAAGCGCATGGTAATAATAATAATAACACTATAATAGTAATAACAATAATAATAATGATAATAATAATAATAATAATAATAATAATAATAATAATAAATAATAATAATGGGGCCTAGCCCGCAGTTAGAGACGGGAGCGTGAAACTTCACAGACTAGCACAGCTGTGTAAGGTCAATGCTATGAGGACACCTTGGAGATGAACGGAAACAGTGGCGTGCCAGCGCAAACCTTGCGCAAAGCAATGAGCTGGTCCTCCATTTCTGGTTACATGGTCAGTCCAGTGAACAGTTTCCCTGGACTTCGTTGGACTTTGGGCAAAGCTCTCCGTCTGCCTGGCAACAGCCCAGCAATGGCTTATGTTGCCTGCACAGTCTCGCAATTCTTGGGATCTTGGAATGGGCACCGGCTCACAAAACAGGATACCCGGAGATTCGAGGTTTCTGAGCGAGCAGTGCGAAAGTACATCGGGCCCTGCACAAGCAAGAGACGGATGAATGTTGAGGCAGATTCAGGTTCAGATTCATGTCGAGTGGGCGTCCTTCAGGCCCCACGGAACCTAAAGGGCAAGCTTGTCATTCTCGAAGAGCCTTTGCGCAAGGTCGACCCGTCATGCATCGCGGCATCTTTGGATACAGACCCATGGTTCAGCCTCGGAGACTCGCATTCGCCCCACTCCTGGCACGCTTGCAGAGTCCACCATCGTTGGCGTCTTTTTTCAGCTCCAGAAGCTGCTGTGGAAAGGGTCGGCTCCATGATGTCCAACCTGTGGTGTGATAATCAGCATGCTTCCCCAGAGACTTGTACTTATTCAATAACTACGGAGCTTTACACTTGTTTTGCCTTCTTTACAACAGCAAGAAACTTCAGCTTTTTATTGCCCTGCCTAGTAGTGTGAAAGAAGCAAGGAGACCCTCATGGTGCGTGTGATGTTGCAGCAGGCGCATGTCTCAGTCACAGGGCACAGCAGAGATGAGCTTCTCGTTCGTGCGGTTGTCCACCTTCTGGAGAGGACACATGCCAGGCTGAAAAAAACTTCAAGACCAAAAGAGCTGAGTCAGGTTCAAGCACTGCATGCGCGCATTGAGAACTCGGGTCGCTGGCACAGCAGTTTCTTCGATGGATGCCAGGGCCAGGACGCCTTATCCCTGATCGAGCCTGACAGTGTCTTACAGCGGGCAAAGTCCGGCCAAGCCGTGCGGCAGTTGGCCAAGGACGCTCTAGCAAGTGGGCTTCCTTCCAATGTGCCTCAGACTATCCATGATTCCTGGGTGAAGGTTTTGGCCTCCGGAGTTGTGGCAGCATTACCGATGGGTGTGTCAGTTCAGCGAAAGAGCGCTGGCAAAGCAGCTCCATCGACAATCCAGGCGAGATTGGATGATTGGCTGGTCAGTGAAGAAGGCAAGAAATGGCAGGTCCAGCGTCAACGCCTCTGGGCTCCTGGAAGCAATGTGAAGGTCGGCGAGACCTAAATTCAGTATCAGTAGCAAAGTTGAGAAAGTGCCGCTAGCAGTGGGGTGTCTGCTGGTGAAAACATCGCTCTGCTTGAATGCCCACGGAAGTGGTTGAATTCTTCGAATTAAGCCGAAGTCCCTGACCCAATGAGCATGAAGCTGAACACCGATCTTTCAATCCTACACCCCGAGGGCTCCCTAAGGTCCAAGGTCTACCTCTTACCTTGCAGTTTCAATTCCTAAACTGAACAAAACCACCAGCCCGAAACTAGCCTGCAATCTGTCAAACCCATAACTGCAGACCGGGGAAGGGGAACTGTTGCACCGTCCGGAGGCAGAGTTGGCGGACATCGGAACGGCAGAGGTTGCACAGGAGCACCCTCTACAAGGCGGCTGAGGTTTAGGCTTTAAGCGGCTTCGTGAGTAATGGTGTTGAGAGGGTGGATTCTGGAACCTTGCTGGCTTAGTTTTGCATGGCTTGCGGGCCGCGGGAGGGTTATCTCATGTTCTTTGCGTGGCCTGACAAGTGTGGCTGTGTAGCAAAGCCTGAAAATTTATGAGTTCCCATGTGGTGCAGCTTCATTATGATCTCGACATGGCGAGCAACATCACATCTGTCCACAGCCTTCTTTTAACATCTTCTTTCTGTATACCCTGACATCCTTCTCAGCCGTAAGCCCAAAGCAGGAAGCCCAATGATTCACTTGGTAAACTTGGCCCTGTGCCCCAGATGCCCCAGAGTGTGTGACGAGCGCCCATGGAGGGTGTTGTGTTCGACTGTTCTGACGCCAGCAGCACCGGGTCGGCTGAAGGATGCCAGTGGGAACTCGACATCGATCCCAGTGTCAATGGCGTGAACACGGAGATGGATGTCGTCGTCACAGCTGAGTCTTCGGAATGCCTACAGCAGGAAATCTGCAGCGATGCAGATGGCGGCATCTTCTTCGAAGAGTCAATGTCAAGTGGGTCATCCATGTCCGTCGTAACAGACCCCGATGCAGAGTTGAATGGTGCTGATTGTGATTGTAGTGCTGGTGATACCGTCGCGACTGACGAGCGCATCAGCACCCTTGTCAGTGCATTTCGTGCTGGAGTCTTCATGGTGGAGTTCTTGCAGCAGAGCTTCGGGGAGCACCACTTGCAACTCTGCATTGAACATTTAGGGGTATGTGAAGCATGAGTCGGATAGTCTACTCTTGTCAGTAAGCCTTTGGGTCCCGGACCCGTATGGATACGAAGATCTTGAGTTAGCATGCCGAGCAATATCTGAGGAGACAGAGCTCTTTGAACTGGCTGCATTTGTTCTCTTCCCAGTGCTCCGGCATCGCCTCCGCAGAGCAAGCTTACCATGTCCTTGAAGCTTCGCTGGAGGCTGTGCTGGGATGGCCCAAACAGTGGCAGCAGGCTTCGGTTTGTGAGATCAACGCGAAATGCATTGACATTTTGAAGAAGAAAGTCCCAGATGACTGTTGCATTTTCATGGACATCTTTGAGTCTGTTCCCGCCAGCTGGGATTCCAAGTTGGGGCCGGCTCCGACAATTCAGGAGCGGTGGGAGGCTTTGTGCTCGGCATGGCAGGGGAACATCAAGCTGAAGTGCCGAGCGCACGGAGGTTTGTGCAGACAGAAGAAATCAACCCTGAACGTGGCAGGAACTCCTTGCCAACCATGGTCCAGATGTGGCAAAAAACTTGGAGGAAACGATCGACGCAGCGACGTTACCTTGGCGTGGCTGTGCTGGCTGTTGCATGCACAGCCAGCAGTCGCCATACATGAGAATGTGGTTGGGTTTGATAGCTCTATCATCACCACATGTGTGGGTTCGCTGTACAGTGTCATCATCCTGCCTGTCAAGCCTGGCAATGCTGGATTTGTCTTCGCTGGTCGCCCTCGCCAGTTTGCCGTACTGGTGCGGAAAGACTTGGTCATCACGCATGACATGTTGCGTGTTTTACATGCAGCTTCGGAATACATCAACAAGAGAGTTGGGTGCTCGCAAGTGTCCGCATGCATGGCTGTAACGTCTGATGAGGAACGTTTGCAGTGTGAGAACAAAGCAAGGAAGAAGCGAGGGTTGCA